AACAACAACAACAACAACAACAACAACAACAATGGTCTTATATAGTATTTGTCCTAATGGGACTGAGTTGACTTAGCAAAATGCCCTCCAGTCCCTCTCAAGTTAGGTAATGATTTACAAAATCATTGGTCCTGCATGCTGCATAGTATTCCATAGTGTGAATGTGCCACCATTTTTCAATCCATTTGATTGTGGTTGGATATTTGGGCTGTTTCCATGTTCTTGTGATGGTGAATAATGTTTCTATAAACATTGGTGTACAAGCTGCTGTTTGTGACTTAGTTCTCATTTTCTTGAGTATATTCCAAGCAGTGGAATAGCTGGGTCAATATGGAATTTCTGTGTTTAGCTTTTTGAGGAAACACCAAACTGCCTTCCTGAGTGATTGTACCATTTTACAATCCCACCAACAGTGTATGAGAGTTCCTATCTCACCACATCCTCTCCAACATTTATTACTTGCTGTCCTGGTAAACTTTGCTACTGCTCCTGGGGAGAAAAGGTATCTTATTGTGATTTTGATTTGCATCTATCTTATTCCAGGGATTTTGAGTGTTTCTTTATGTGTCTGTCAGCCATCCAAATATCTTCCTCCATGAAAATTCCTTCCATGTCTTTTGCCTGTTTTGTAATTGTGTTATCAGTCTTTTTCTTGTGGAGGCCCTGTAGGATTCTATAAACTTTTGATATGAAATCTTTGTGATTTGGTGAAGGTTTACAAAGCAAATTAATTTTTCATCTTATAATTGATACACATTTTATTCTGTAACATTAATTTCAAAACCTATAATTAATTGCACTTCTCACACTTCCACCTTATAATTCTGATTTTCATTTATTCTTATTAAATGTATTGACTTTTTATGTGGTCCCATTTACCTATTTTATCTTTTGCTGCTCACGCTTTTGGTATCATACCTTACAGTTCATTGAAAATGAGATCTCATAGGTATATCCCTAAGTTTTCTTCTGCTAATTTTATGGTATTAATTATTATGTTTAGGTTTTTTAATCTATTGTTAATTTTTTAAATATTTCATATTTCATGTATGTTAGGCATACATCCTATTTAATTCTTCTGAATGCGCAAATAAAATTTTTTCAGCACTATTTATTAGAAACTCTCTTTTTCTCCTTAGCACCCTTATTGGAAATAAGCTAATGATAAATATGTAGGTAAATTTTTAGATTTTTAATTCTATTCCATTGATCTCTGATGCTTATCATTGTACCAGTACTAGACTGCTTTGATTATGGGAGCTTTATAATAACGCTTGAATTTAGGAAGTATGTATCTTCTTACTTAATTCTTCTTTAAGACTGCTTTGATTTTCGGGGTCCCCTGACCTTCTACAGGCAGCCCTGGTGGCCTAGTCTGCAGAGGGATAGATAAACTGCTAACTAAAAGGCCCAACTTTCCTGGTGGGTCTAATCCACTAGCAGCTCTGAGACAGAAAGATGGGAAAACTCTTTCCATTCAATTTATAACCTTGAAAGCCCAGTGCAGGTGGGTCAGCTATAATGGTTCTGACATGATGGTAGTGCATGAGAGAATCAGTTAGTGCCCTCCTAAGCAAATATGAGGACTAGTTTTTCCCATTTCTGCAAAGAAGGCCACTGAAATTTGATGGGGATTGAATTTAATTTATAGACTGCTTTGGGTAGTGTTGACATCTTACTTATACCTTCCAATACATGGACATGGACCCTCCTTACCTTTTATTAGAGAGAAGCCAGGGCTGTTCCTGCTGGAATTCAGGTATCGGTGGAGATGACTTCCTGTGACCAAGTGAATTAACTGCTGAGAGTGAATTTACTGCTGGCAGTGAATTCGCTGCTGGAAGTGAATTCACTGCTGGAGAATTTGCCTGTTGGCCCAAGAAGGAAATTCCAAATGTTAACTTGAATCTAACATGAGAATCATACACAAGAAAATGCTCCTGAAATATTGCACAAAGGGGAAAAATCTAGACCCCAGTTACGAACGAGATCTATTCTTAAGTGTATCTTTATATTAGTTGAAACTTAGATATTGTTCTTATCTAATGTCAGTTAGTCAGATGCTTGTCCTACTATATAGTATACCTTTCTATGCATAAAACATTAAATATACAGATCCAAATACACTAAAAATATCTTTAACATAATGATATTGTAACACTAATCATAATGCTTTGATACCTATTATAAAGTAGCACACATTCATCATCACAAATCACCAGATGAACCTGAAATTTTTAACAAAATAGGCTTCTCATGGCTTGGCTCATAACTATGGGTTGTACGTTAGTGAAATAACTACAATTTATAAGGTGGTCATTTGTAACTTGGGGACTGCCTGTATACGACAACTGGGAAGTAAGAAATCTAGATATAGTAATGATTATCATCAGGGGCTTTAAAATATTATCTTTGGGTGGCAGGATTGTAGGTAATATTTGAGTTTACTCTCCGCTTTTCTGGATTTTCCCAGATTAAACATTCATGACATTTTGTGGTTAGAAAAATTGTTTAAAATGTTATCTGACAATTTTCCAGAAAATTTTTCTTGTTTTGGTTGTCCCTTTTTCCAAGCAGGCATCACCAGAGTCAGGGAAAACCCATTGCCCAGGAGATAGCTCCACAGGGGCATGCTGGCAATCTTATATGTCTTCATACAGGCCTCATACATAAAAGTCCACTCAAACAGATAGACATACCCACCAAACCTACAGGGACCCACTGTGTTAAACACTAGAACTGAATGCCCTGGGATTTTCTTAGCTATAATATTTAGAGAAGAAGACCTTCAGGCCTTCCTTCCCTTCCTCCAGGCCCTCTCCCGGATGAGTCTTAACTGTCAACCTTTCCTCCAGTTGCTGAGTACAAGCTGTTTGCATCACCCATGGGGAGGTCTTATAAGTGTCACAACCAAACTTCCAAACTCACTGTCATTAAATCAATTCCAATTAGTGATTCTCCAAACAAACCTTACAGGACAATGGAGGACTGCCTCACAGGGCTTCCAAGGCTGTCATTTTTATGGGGAGCTCTGCTGGCCTCGTTAGTGGTAAGGGGTTACACTGCCAACCCAAAGGCACGCATTTCAAATCCACCAGTTGCTCCATGGGAGAAAGATGGGCAATCTCTTTCTGTGATTCCTACAGCCTCTGAAAACCCACTCGAGGGTCATTTGAATCAATTCTGACTTGACAATACATAACAATCTTTACAGAAACAGACTGGTACATCTTTCTCCTGAGGAACAACCGGTAGATTTGAAATGCTCACCTTGCTGTTAGCAGCGCCATGCTCAATTCACAGTACCACCAGCTGCTATATAAATCTCACAAGCAAGATTTAGATTGTAGCTCATGGTTTAGAGTTGACTGATTGCCTCGTGATCCTCCCAGAGGAGGAAAGGAGGAGAGGCTGTGAGCAGCTGCTGTAAGCCTGTTTCTCACTTGCCTCCTTCTTTCTCGTCACCTCTCATGCTTTGACTGGGTATGAGGTTTTGCCTCTCTCCACTCGGGATACAGCTGGAGGCGATAAAATTGCCGAGCTACAGCACACAGCCAGCTCCTCAGCAACAGAGCGTCCTGTCATTCCACTCATAGTCATCTGGTCCATTTTGTTTCAGTCCTCTTGTGGGGGAAAGAACACCTAGAAATTGTACCTCTGGCTACCTGTGTTTTCACGCTGTATGTACAAACAGGTTCGTCTTAGAGAGGGTGAAACCAGTCTGTTCCTTGGAGTCAAGGATTCTGAAGCTTCATTTGACATCCTTTGGGCATGTTGAAAGGAGGGACCATCCTTGCGCAGGGGCCATGCTAATCTTCTCTGTATCATTCCAATTTTAGTATATGTGCTGCCGAAGCGAGCACTACAACCAGGAGAAGATAACATAGATGAATGGGATCTTCTAAGACTCAAATCCCTATACACATCCAAAAACTTCTCCAGTAGGGTAAAAAGG